CATCCTCTTTTGTTCTTATGATCTCACCAACTTAGCCATTGTGTAACTTTTTAGAATTGGTAAAACCTATTGAAAGTAACTGCATCTATCTACATACCACATAATTCTCATGTATCATCCTCTTTTGTTCTTATGATCTCACCAACTTAGTCATTGTGTAACTTTTTAGAATGGGTAAAACCTATTGAAAGTAAGTGCATCTACATACATACCACATAATTCTCATGTATTTGATATCTAACACCTAAACATTCATATTTACATGCACACTACTCAAATCCTTAATATTACATTAAAACATCGATATCTAACACCTAAACATTCATATTTACATGCACGCTACTCAAATCCTTAATATTACATTAAAACATCAACATCACTGTCTTTTTAAAACTGAAGCACAATTTCTCATGCGTAGGTTTATGATATGAAGGTGCTATAGTGTAAATATAAAAATTCGGGTGTTACGATGTGTAAATACATGAGAATTGTGTGGCAGGAAAATATACATTTCTTATTTCTCCAGCTGTTCAAAATGGTTATTTACTTGTATTGCGTTAGTACTTTTATGCGCAATTGCTTCCTTTCATTCATGTTTCGATACTATTATTATTGCTTGGTATATGCTTTGGACTTGTTTGGGTTCACTTTATTTTAAAAACATATTTGTTTAGTGCATTTTTATATGATTTTATTTTTTGTTTTTAAATGTAAATTAGTTTGTTTTTTAAAAATACTAAAAAACATTTAAAAGTTGTTTAGAGTGTTTTGAAAAACAACTAAACATGGTATATGATACCAAATATGTTTTGTTTAAATTAAAACGTAAAAAAAAATGAAAAATGAAAATCAAAAGTGATCTCAAACGGCTCGTTAAGATATTGCCATTTGCTATTAAAAGGTTGAAATATTTATGAAATATGCTTTTTAGGTCATGGATTTGATAGAAGATGTTGGCCTGGAAGCAGTGGCATCATCTTGCAAGCTTCTTAAGGAGCTTCGAGTTTTCCCATTTGATCCATATGGTGCTGAACACTACTCACTCACCGAGCGTGGGCTCATGAGCGTGTCTGCAGGTTGCCCGATGCTTCGCTCCGTGCTCTACTTTTGTCAACAGATGACAAACGTTGCTCTTATCACTGTTGCCATGAACAGTCCCAATTTGACGAGTTTTCGCCTCTGCATCATGGACCCGCATACTCCGGACTACTTGACTCGGCAACCACTCGACGCTGGCTTCAGCGCCATCGTCGAAGCATGCAAGGACCTCCGCCGTTTGTCTGTATCTGGACGTCTCACCGACCGCGTGTTCAAATCCATAGGAGCACATGCAGATCGAGTTAAGATGCTTTCGGTTGCCTTCGCCGGAGATAGCGATGCAGGTCTTCATTATATTTTATCGGGTTGTAAGAGCTTAAAAAAGCTGGAGATTCGAGACTGTCCATTTGGCGATGAGGCTCTTCTGGCAAATACTGCGAAGCTCGAGACAATGCGATCCCTTTGGATGTCGTCCTGCTCTGTAAGCTTGGGGGCGTGTAGATTACTGGCGAAGAGGATGCCGAGGCTTAATGTGGAGGTTATCGACGAGCGGCGAGGAGGGCAAATGGAATTGAGGCCTGATGACTGCCCTGTTGAGAAGCTTTATATATATAGGACAGTCGCTGGTCCGCGATCCGATACTCCGAGTTGTGTTTGGACCATATAGAGATACCGATTACTTGAAAGAAAAACTGGTTACTTGAAAGTAACTTGTTTTGTTGTAATGGATGATTGATGAAGTTATGGAAGAGCTGTATCAATTTGTTTTTTTAGGTATCAAATGTTGTTTAGTATATGGTGTAGAGTAGAGCAGCAACTTTTTAAGTGTTGTAAAATTCATTAATGGTATTACGGGACTTGTATGTGATATTTGCAGAATGATTATTTAGGGGAGCTCTTAAGAAATTTTGGTTATTGTGGGATAGTTTTATGTAAATGAGGGTTATTTAATTTTCAAGTTACAGTGTAATTGCTAATCTTATGTCTTTGCCTCTTGCTAATTTAGAAATTTGACCGTTGTAGAATTTTATATGCTTATTCAGGAAATATATTTATTAGGTTATTGTGGTGAATTTTGTCAGGGTATATCATACTGTTTTGAAGAGATATGTAGGCTTGTAGCTATGATCTTCATTCCCTATAAGATATATTGTACTTTTGCTCATGATCCTCAATTTCATCCTAAGGTTGTGCATGTTCAGTCTAATGTTGTGGCTCCTACATATAGATGAAGAAGTAATAATAGGAATTATATTAATCAAAGATTTAAAAAAAGTAAGATTAATATAATTGGCCATATTGAAATTAAGCTGTCTTTCTTCTATATGTGATAATATTTCTATAAATAAGTTTAGTCTTTTTAATAATGAGGATAATATGAATAATTTTGATATTGTTGATAATGGTCGTATTTGAATTAAATGAAATTATGAGATTCTTTCTTTTACTGCTTCAGAAGTTAAATCTCAATACATTCATGTTCATGTTACTTTCTCTTTTTCAGTTATGTTTTTATTACTTGCATTTGTGACGACGATGGTACTACTCATAGAAAAGATTTTTGGAGTTGTATTGCTCATCTTGCTCATAATATTAATGATCATTGGCTTTTGTTGGGTGATTCTAATAGTATTCTTTCTTAGATTTAGTGAACAGGTAAGTGGTTTTCCTGCTATTCCTGCTATTCCTTCAAAGCTAACTGATTTTAATAATTGTCTTCTCAATTCTAATATTTTAGAATTATAAAATACTAGTCATTCATAAATTTAGTTGGTATAACAATCAAATTAATAATCCTATATGATGCCTTCTTGACAGTGCTTTCTAAAATACTTCGTAAGTGGATTTTTTTCCTCATTATTTTTTTAGAGTTTTTGGATAATTTCATTTAGATCCTCCTCCCATTTTTATATATTTAGGAGTATCATATGTTTTATAGCATAGATTTTGTATAAAAATTATTGAAGCAAATGACTTGACTTTTATGATATTGTTCATGAAGCTTGGAATATGAATGTTAAAGCTGATCCTTTATTTTCCCTTTGTAATAAATTGAAGAATGTCATGGAAGCTTTTAAACATTGAAATCAGAATAATTTAAATTATCTTTCTAATCAGATCAATTAACTAAGGGAGCAACATGGAATTACTTTGCTTTGCTGTTGGGTTGGTCATTTTATTTCTATATTGGCTAATTTGTTCGAGCATATTCTCAGAATATTTTTGTGTTTTTTATAATAATTTAATTATTTCAAGTCAAAAGGAATCAAACAGGAACGAATGAATTTTTGTTTTTGTTTGACTTGTTTATAAATTGTGTTTAAAAATATTGTTCGTGTTCGACTCGCTTGCTTAACAAACAAACTGAACATGAGCTACTTAATAAGCCAAACTCAGGAGCACTTTTAACAGCCATGGTTCCAACAATTATTTTTGAAGCATTCATAACAAATTATAAGTTTGATTAATAAAGTCTAATGCAATAACTAAAATATAATAAAGAGCTATCCCAGTAATTATGACATGATATTTAATAAGATAAATGCATAAGCTTTAAATAATATATGTAACACATAATTCAAATACTATGGACCCAAGTCATTCAATTGATCAATTCTAAATTTAACGCATGCTGTTTCTCGAGTTAGTTTATAACTTAAGATTATCAACTCATTCAATCATTTTTATGCTGAGTCGTAGAGATTTCATTATTTACATTGATGCAATTAACCATAAAGATTTGTACCTTTTGAAAACACCAATACCATATAATTGGTATATATCTCAATTAACTTTATTAGTTAAAGGTGGTAATTTTTTGAAACCTTCATTATAATTGTTGAATGCGAATTTATCCGTGAATGACCCAAGGAAAATAGCATAAGACATGAGAGGAGAGGGAGACAAAGTGTGTAGAGTGCACAATAATGAACAATAATATAGATTCTTGATTAGCACATTTTGAAAAAATAATCCCTCTATTTATTAAAGAGGTGGGTATTTTGCAAGTATAGGCCTACGATTCGACAACCCTATGACTCGATTAGATGATATAGGTGGGTCTTGGTTTGGCAAAGTTTGTTTGTTCGACCACACTGCATTAGTTGTCAGGCGGCTGCAGATGGTCTACGAGTCGGTCGGGCTTGATTCAATCGGATCGACTCTGTCGCTCGACTATTATAATATGGCCATCGACTATTGATCATCGAACGACGAGCTCTTATCAATAGATTTAGGCTAGGCTATAAGACAAAGTAAAACACCTTAGTCTGATAGATAGTACACTCATTAACAAAAGGGTCATGCTCCGCTGATTACATTACGACTAGTTCACAACCCCTAATAAGGAACTTCAATGGCACCCATGAAATGGCAAGCAATAATGGGCTCTTCCTTTGAGTGAGGTTGTAGAAATAGGCAGATTAGTGCTCTGCTCAACTCAATTGACCTTGGTCTCTGGTTTGGTCGACCTCTAGCCCTAACTCAGAGGGGGTTGTATCTAATACAGTAGGCACTTTTGTTATCCCATTCGTAGTCCCCAATTATTCACATGGGATCATTTTAGTCCCATAATTTATAAAAGTGTTAAATTAGCCCATAAACTCTTTAAATTAGAGCTAAAATAGTCCATATGGAGCACCACTACAGACCCAACTTTAATGAGTCTAGGGATCAATTTAGAACTTCTATAAACCTTAGGTCTAAAACACCTCATGCAAATCATCTAGAAACTATTTTGGCACTTTGCTCATTAAAAATCAAAGCAAAGCCAATTTAAATCAAACGCAATCAAACCATAGCCATATCCAACAAACCCTAACTTTATCCATTCAAATTCAATTATAGCACATTTTTAATCATAATTTTAGAACACTAAAAAAAAATTAATTTATAATTTGGCCAAACCATATAGGGATTTTACAATATTAGCTTAGAAATTGGCAAGCACTCAAAAAATCTATAAAAACAAAGACGTCCCCACCCAATGAAGATAGTTAAAATTAATTACTGTTCCAATATGGGTAGAAACAACAGCCAAAATTTCAGATTATCACAAGAAGAAGCTACTAAAAAATCTGACAAAGATAATACTTAGACATTATAGAAGAGCTTAGTTTCTAAATAAAAATTACAATTAGGCCCTCCAGTAATGAGAAAAAGGAACAAGTTATCACTCACAAAAATTTAAATTCAATAGAAAGCAGACATTTACAAAATCTACACTGTAACAAGTAAAAGAATGGAAACAAACAAAATGAAGCATTGAAAAATTATTTGAAAAAAAGTGAAGATAAATTAAAGATAAACTTAATTGAGAAATGCAAATATAGAATTTAATGCCAAGGATCATCCCAACCTTTGGGTCCCTCCCTCTTGACAAAATCCAGGATAGCCTGCACTGCTTCTTGAACCCTGTTGGAGAGTGAATGGTTTCCATGTTCTATCTCAACCTTCTCTGCACCTCCCATGGCTCTGCAAAGTCTGCAGAAAGATATGTAAAGATTACCAACTTGCACTTCAGAATATGGAGTAAATTGCCAAAATAGCCCTGACTGTTTATAGGAGACTATTTTAGTCTTCAGAGTCAATAAAATGACAAATCAGTCCCCTGTATAAACTGGGACGGGGTTAAAAGAGTCATCCATGAGGACTATTTCAACACATACTAAAATAGTCCATGACTAAATTGACACTTGCATAGATTTTGAGACTTAAATGACTCCATACAAAAAGCCAGGGGACTACTTCATCACTTTTCTATAAGAAAATGCCTTTAAGAAACTTATAAATCCACTTCGAGCAGCTTTTTCATGTTAACTTTGCCTCATAAACTGCCATCACATTTTCGTTGGCAATAAATTTCCTGTTTCATTTCAGAAATTTATGTGATGAAAAGCTTAAGAGTGTGATGGCTATAAGAAACATATAGTTTGACTTTTCATAAGAGAAATAAATAATCAATATCCATAATAGTTTTCAAAAAAAAGGAAAAAAAAAACTTTTTCCACATCAATCAAAGGTACTTCGTCGTAATGTCTTACCTTTGCACTAGTGCTTTCTTATCGACATATTCTGGAACATACTCATCGGCCATAGAAAAGATCACCTGCATGTAAACGGTATGTATCAAATACATACACCTCCAAGGAACATTCCATGGCTTCTAATCCTACTAAGAAAATGCTAGGAATTTTAAAAATGAACAAAGGCTGTAAAGCTTGATTAATGGATTCAAAATTATTGAGATTTCATTCTATTTCCCCACTTTTCTTCAATCCAAGCAAAGCCTTAATGAACTTGAGGCTTCATTAATTGAAAGACTCTCAACAGCACAATTTCTACTTTTAAGTTAAACACCTAATATATTTCATAAGGGAAAAATTTTTATTTAAGGTATTATTTATATTAAATCAGGCGAACAGTAAAACAAAAGTATAGATACAGTTGCCCAAAAAATGGACAACTGGCTATCCATGTAGATTAGGGCTTTTACTGCACCCCGCCCTCACACAAGTGCTAGCTCGTTTCTTCCGTCGCTCTCGCTCTCGCTCTCTCGATGGAGCCAATCTCGCCCCACCCGCCCCCACCAAGCCCACTAGGATTGGCCACAGCCACCACTGCACCGAGTAGCTCTCTCTCTCCCTCTCTCTCTCTCTCTCTCTCTCTCTCTCTCTCTAGGTGCAGTGAGCCACCGGTCCCCTCTCATTCTTCTTATGACGTTCCCCCCTAGCTCTCCTATTGGAGCAAGGCCTGCATTTCTCTCCCAACGATTGCAACCACCCACCCCACCGCTGCTTCTCTCGCCACAGCTAAATGGTAGTACAAATTTGCACACCTCCTTCTCTCATTGGTAGCCTCAGTCTCAATGGTTGACATAACATAATTTTTTTTATTACCTGATTATATCTAATGATTATGTCACTATTAATTTTAAATATATTATTGATACACCACCAACAAATTTTCATCTTTCAACACGAATCTCGAGGCATAACACAAATCTCAAGATGATATTTTAAGCAAGAAACATTCAATCTTGATGAAAAATCATCCAGAGCTATGATTTCAGCAAAATTATAGTCAAACTGACCTGTTTAATGAGATGGACCTAATAATATGAAAACTAGCCCAATCCAAGTCAAATCAAGCCCAGATCAAGTCATTAAACCACAAATAGAAGATTTATGAATGCATTTGGAAAGTAAAGCGACTGTCAAATATGACAAGTTTATACTCAAATCGAGCGGCTCAACAAGACGAATCCAACGAGCCCAATATCACTCAATTCTGACATAATTAAGACACTCAAATGTCCATTAAACGCTGTACGATCGATGGAAGCTCTCCGGACCGTTCGATTAAAATGGTTCATATTCCTGCATTAATTGTACCCAGAACACTATAAATAGAGCTCCACCCCTCTCATGAGAGGAGAGGAAGTCTAGAGAGAGAGCCTGAGGTCTTGAGGAGAAGCTGCGGCTCAGCATCACCACCAATCGTCGCCGACCGCCGTTGACCACCGCCGACCGTCGTCAACCTCCACCTACCGTCATCAATCACCACCAACCAGATGTCGTTAGTCGACATTGTAATAAAAAAAATATAGTTACCCTTTCCCGTCTGTGAGACGAGATTTCTGTAATCATTAATTAATAGTGAATTTCCACAACTGGGTCAAGTCTCGTGGTTTTTCTCTAACGGGTTTTCAATGTAAAAACTTCTGGAGTCATCACCGCAGAGTATGTGTTGAATTCTTGTGCAACACTAAGACGATAGTCCGTTACTCTACCGCCACAAATTTTCTAGAACACATCAATTATAACAACTACAATCAATTGCATTAAAATTCCTTCTGTTTTCTTATTCATTTCAAATTCAGTTGTGGAGATAAAAGTTTATCAGATTTGTTGTTCGTTAGTGTTTTCTGAAGATTTTAAGCATTACCACCTCTACTTCGGGATTCATTTTTGTATCACAGTATGGTTTTTTATAATTATAGTTGAGAGTTAGCTTCTTTGATCTTGTTTTATAATTGACAATCGAGTGTCGATGAACATTTCCTGTTTGTTTATTTCAGAGAAAAAATCAACCCATTCAAGTTCCATGTAATTCGAACTTAGAAGATTCAAAGTGAAAAATTTTAAGGACTCTACAACTGGATCCAAATAGTAACATGGTCAATTTAACAAGTCGTTTCCATGTTGGCACGGGTTTTATAGCATCACTTATATCAGATGATGAGGTTTGTAGACTCATTTTAACTGAAGCTTCTCGTCAGATATTATTAGTGATTATGTTGAAGTGGAGACTCACTATAGTGACTGCCTAGCCATGGACGTTGTGACAATGCTGCAAAACATTTCATAACATGATAAGCAAATTTTTATTTCCACACCTACTGTCCCTAGGCCACAATCGCCTCGATTTGTTGTATACCCTTATAAACATAACATCACACAGTTTGCAATGCCTGAGAAGACTATGAGGCAATGAACAATGACTCAGCTATGGGTTTTAAAACAGTAGTTAAGAAGATAACCTGCATCACAACAACCTGGTTTAGGCAGGTCATGGCCTTATTAAGTATTACTCAATCAGAAATATTGAAGATGCAGGTACCATGATTTCCAATAATGACTACGTTCATATTTGTCAGAAGACAACGAGAATGGGATGAAGAAGTTGTATTCAATGGATCATCCAATAGCACATTGCTCCATACGGAGTGGATATACCTGAGAGTTAATTGAAGGAATGTGCTTTCCAAGCAAGCAGGACCTCGAGCTTGCAATGAGCAGTCGGTCAATTATTACTAACGTGTAGTTTCAAACAATTTACTAAAATAAATAATAAAAAAACTACACTGTAGTTTGTGCACATTTCAATAATCCATGCAGAGCTTGCATGCTCAAAATGTTTGCCAACATCCCTTCCCCTCTACTGGTTTCACCCAAAATAATTGCCCTCACGACCAAACACTCACGATACAAGTCACAGTCAGAGCTGAGAAGGCAACAAAGGGATTGTGATGTGCAAAGACCCCCATTTTTGTCCTCCTTTTGGTCCGCAAAGAGCTGATGAAAAATATGACATGAATCATGACAAAAACGCCACATGAGAGTTTGTTTCATTTTGAATTACAGGATTTAGTAAATCTTGGATTTATTGCAAACTGACATCATTTTAGGATTTAAGAGACCAAAGTATTTATGGATGAGTTTTGGCCATTTGGCAGGATTTATGCAAAATCCCGCATAAATCCTGCTTAAAACCAGCTACCAAACCGCCCCTAAAAGGAAAACACACTTTTTAATGCATAGTTTTATAATATCAAGGCAATATAAGTGTAAATATAAAAAGATGTAAATACATAAGAATTGTGTGGTATGTAACAGAAATACAATTGATTAACCAAAATGACAAATGATGTAGTAGATAATTTTACAAGTCTGCCAAAAATTCATATAGATTTTCCCAGGACATGTTTCTTATTTAGAAGCTTGTAAAAATACCTTATCAAAGTTTTTAATTCAATCTTGTCGAAAGAAGTAAATTAAATTATGTACATGCAGGTCTAGGTTTAGGTTTTCATAAGTTAAATCTAGAAAGATTGACATACATACCATTCAATTCTTATATATTTACATATGATTAAACTTCAGTTTTTACATACATTTCATCGTACTTATATATGAAAAAGTGTATTTCACTTTTTAAAAGTTAAAATGGAGGTATTTTTTATGTGATATGAAAGATTTGGATGGTATAAATGTAAAAAGCAAAGTATAGGTGTTATTTACATAAAAAATTAATGCAATATATGTAAAGGATACTTAAATTTATTGAAAGAAAAGTAGATAAAGACAACCGCCTGACCTGGCATGGTGTATTCGACATATGACCAAGTTTTGTCCTAAGTTGATCTTCGCTAAGATCTGAGCTGAACATGTCGTCATCGCCCATATATGCACAAAGAGAGTGGTACCTTAATAAAGCAGCAATAGATTAGCCGAAATGAAGAACCTATGGACGACCTCAATGATGTCGGATGCATATAAATAAGCACAAATCACAAAGGTTTCCGGCCGCCACACAAGGTCTCTTTTATATCTCGAGGAGAAAAAAGAGATTTCAATGTATTATTAACATTTAAAAGGGTGTATAAGGCATATATGAGAGCACAATAAAAATATAAGAAAGATTGACATACGCACCATTTTATGCCTATGAATTTACAAATATAACACCTAAGCTTCAATTTTTACATATATCTCACCTCACCCATGCATTGAAAGGTGTATTTCACTATTTAAAAGTTAAAAAAATGATAATTTTTATGTGATATGAAAGATTTGGGTGGTATAAATGTTAAAAGTACATTTTAAATGTTAGATATGTAAATAAATAGTAATTGGGTGGTATGTATTTAAATGCCCAAAAATATAAATTAACAAGGAATAATAGCAATGATGAGCATAACAATCTAAAATAACCTTTCCAATATTAGAAAACCCATCTAATAAACAAATACTACTAAATAAGCCTAAATATGCCAACACTCCCTCTTAAGATGGGGCATTTATGTTTATGAGCTCTAGTTTGCTACATAAATGGGAATAAATATAGTTGTCCTAGAGTTTTAGTAAATATATTTACCACATGTTATGAGGTGGAGATATGAAAAATGCATTTTTTTTTTTTGGAAAAACAGAGTATCTTCCATGAAAGAATGGTTGCATACTTCAAAATCTTTGTTTCACTCCTGAAAGATAGGATTACTGACAATATAAATAGCAATACGATTGTCATGATATAACATAACAAGGAAGCTATATATGTATAATATATGATGGTGTCGTCTTCTCCCGCTATCGGCTCTGCTAGGGTTTCGACTCATGACGAACCATAGTAATTGTTATGACGTTTCGCATCAGATCCTAATTGCGTCTTCTTCGACGCCGTCTTCTCCTCGTTGTGTTTTCTCCGTCGCCGTCAACTTGCGTCATCTGCTTCGACGTCGACTACGGCTCGCATCTTTCTGCGTCTCGCGAGCGTGCGTCGTCTACTTCGCATGTCCGCATTTGCGTCTGCGTCGAATGTGCGGCTTGCGTCTGCGTCTTCTCCGTCGTCTTCTTCGCACGTTCGCGTCCTCCGGTTTCGATGCCGACAGTTGCATATGGGGACTTTGCAGTAGTCTGTCGCAGATTCTGTTGCAGCTCGTTTTCTGTTTTGACACCGTGCTTGCCCGAAAAATTCTCTAGCTTCGTTTCGTCTATGTGTCGGGGACCTCACAGCAGGTGAACGCCGACAGATCTCCCTGCTCTGATGGCACTCCCTTCTTCTTTGGTTGAACCGGACAAAACCTCATTTGCCCACATTGTGGGTAATCTTAGGTGGAGTCGGTCGTTTTCTTTCCCTTAAGTTATAAGGATTGCCGCGATGATACAGATGATTGCCCTTTTGTTAAGAAGAGAAGTAGAAAAGTTGAGAAAACAACAATCTTTTTCTTTGACTTAAAAATTTCAACCCTGATAGAGAAATTCAAGTTTGCTCTTATTGGAAAATTTCAGTGGGGACACCCACCTATGAAAGTTATTAGAAAAAGTGCTGATGATCTTAAACTAGTAGGCAAGTGGAGAGTGAGACTCATGGATGAGAGACATGTGTTGATTCAACTAAACTGTGGCTGAAGACTGTGGCTGAAGACTACACTCGAATTTTCTCTAAGAAATATCTTAATATTGCAGACAAATCAATGAAGTTACTCAAGAGGTCTCTTGATTTCAACCTAAGTCACGAACCTCCCACTGTACCGGTATGGTTTAGTCTACTTGGTCTCAAGCTGCACTTTTTTCATCATCAAATTCTCTATTCTATATCCTTGAGGACTCTGTGAAGCTAGATCTACCTACTTTTAATCTAACCAGACCTTCTGTGGCCAGAATACTTGTGGAAAGAGATATTAATTTACCTGATGTTACTGAAGTTTAGCTGGACATAACTCATAATGCATATTGGCAACAAATCGTTATGAAATACAAACCTCCATATTGTACCGACTGTAAGATGTTTGGCATACCTTGATAAATACCACAAGCTCTATCCTAAGTTGAAATATAAGGTTCAAGTGAATAAGGATGAGGGCTAACCCCACTGCTCTGGACATTTTAGTTCCACCTGGGGATGATACTACCAGATAAGAGGTGTTTGTTGCCCCTCTGGACCCTCCCTTGACACTACTGTTAGATACTACCAGATAAGAGGTGTTTGTTGCCCCTCTGAACCCTCCCTTGACACTACTGTTACTGTTCCTGCGATTGATGTGATGTTGGCACCTTCAAACCCTATAGAAAACAATACTGAATGACTATTACCAACAAAGGATAGCGTTCAAACTGATAATCAAAAATGGTGGGGTACCTCTTCTAATTTTCTAAGACTAGTCAATAGGAAAGTCCTATGGCTAGACCTAGGCTATTAAAGAAGTTTTCTAGACCTCAACCAAAAGTGAGGTCAACAAGCTCTCAACCTCATCAGACTGATTCTTCGAAAAGAAAATAACAGGTTTACAATTCCAGGGGGAAGAAGAATGAAGATCTACTTGAGCTTAGGAATCTTATGGATGATACTTTGGTTATTTTGGGTAACAGTACGCACCTTACCAATTTATTAACTAGATCCCTTCCGAAAACTAGAGGCAGGGGCTGGACTAAATTGGGATGACCCTCAATTTTTCTGCACCCTGGTGGTTTTTTTATTTTTATATGTACCCTTTTTGACTTTTTTATGTGTGTTGTAGTGTGTGAGTTTGGTGTCTATTTTTTGGACCCACTCATACAACCTATATGTATCTTTTCACTTTAATATATTAGTCATTGGGCTTTTTTCCCAAAAAAAAAGCATAACAAGAAAGCTAAACTCTCCTTAAAGAATTTTAAATTATATCATTAGTTTACATTCAACTTCTTACAATTAATGCATGCATATAACTAAATACACATATGAATTCAATATAAATAAATGCACTAAAAAAGTTTCAGTTAAAAAATTGAGATAATTACATACATAACACCTGAAACATTGTTATTTACAAAATCTATAACCCAATTGATATTTTTGACTATCGAACCAAAGTATTTACATGTGTCACGATCAAATCATTGAGAATTTGATAAAAATATAAAATATAGGTTGGGGTTTTATCATGAATTTTTATATTTGAGTGAGAATTTGAAAAATGAATGAAAGAAGGTGCTAGATTTGTAAATAGCAGTGTTTCAGCTGCTAGCATGTAAAAGTATAATAGGGGCCCTCCTTTTCATTCCCTATTTAATCAATGGAACCCCTAGAAGGTTTGCATAGCAAAATGTTGTAAAGAGGAATTGGTGGTAGAGCCAGAAGTTTGTCCATTGTGCTATTATTCAAGAAGCAGAAGAAAAAGATAATATATCCAGCAGCTTCTGAGAAAAAGTAAAGCCGTAAATGGTTTACAAAATGACAGGCAGAGAAGAGCCCAACATATAAAGTACCTAGAAGTAGATATTTATGAAGAGAAACAGATAAGAAGAGAAATGATAGAGGATTTAAGAAATTAAGATGGCCAGTAACTTGGACATGAAAATGAACCTAAAATAAACCATTTTAATAAAGTGTAAATTTTATTACCCCTTCATTAATGAAAGCTATCAGTGCAAAGATTTTGAATGAATAAAACTATTAAAATAAAGATTACAACACCTCTGCCTATAAAGGCAACATAACAAAAAAAGGCAATAAAGATAAAATCATGGCGATATATTAACAAAAACTTAATCTAATGAACAAGAGAAAAATAAAAATGAACTAAAATAATATGACGCACCTGTAGGCTGTAATTGGTGCATCTGGATTTGCTTCTCGAGGCATTAAATCCATTGACCGGCCTTCATTCATCATGCTTAGAGCTAAGTCTATCATTTCAGCAGTTTCAGGTAGCGTTGCACGATATTCCCGATCACTTACTGGAGCCTATTTAACAATGCCATAACTTAATTAATTCTGCTCAATAGTCATCAAAGAAGTAGCCCTAAAAGATCATAAAGCTATAAGATCGAGGTTATAATGAACTGTCGCGGGTCTGAGGATAGTCAAATAAAGAGCATGAGAACCATAAATACTAATCTATTGTAACTATTTGATTCATTTTGTAGTAGGTAACAATAAATTTTTTAGTTAGATAGTCATCCTTGGTGTAAAAGTTAAGTTGTCCCATTGTAAGAGGATGAGGGTCTAATTTATTTAAATAAATTCTTTGCTAATATAGGCTTAGTATAATGGTGTAAAAGTTAAGTTGTCCCATTGTAAGAGGATGAGGGTCTAATTTATTTAAATAAATTCTTTGCTAATATAGGCTTAGTATAATGGTGTAAAAGTTAAGTTGTCCCATTGTAAGAGGATGAGGGTCTAATTTATTTAAATAAATTCTTTGCTAATATAGGCTTAGTATAAAGTATCAAAATAATCCTCTGCTATTTACATGAGACTAGTTTAGTCCCAGAGCCTCTAAACGTGTTAAATTAATCCCTAGACAATTTTAATGTTGGTTGAAATAGTCTCCATGAAAAATGATTTTAACGACTTAAAATAGTCTACAATTTAAACGGACACTTTTATAGACTTTGTGACTATATAAATCGTTACAAAAAAATGGGGGATCACTTCGAAAATTTTCTCTACAGGGTTAAGATTAGGACTGTAAACGAGCCGAGCTTGAGCGAGCTCGTTCGAAATTATTCGTGTTCGAAATTGGCTCGTGTTCGAAACCTGCTCGTGAACAGTGTGTTCGTGTTCGGCACTTTCGAAACCTGCTCGTGAACAGTGTGTTCGTGTTCGACACTATTTAAATATTCGTGTTCGGCTCGAAATTGACTCGTTAAAATTAAACTGAAAAAATAGATGTAGAGCGTTAGATTCGAACCTGAACCAAATATATGCAAAAGAATGCACATAACCAGATTACCACATAAACATGTACGTTTTAAACTTAGATATAAATAATATATATATATATTTATTTCGAGCCGAACACGAAAGAACAAAGAGTTGTTCGTGTTCGTCTCGTTTATAATTCAAACTTTAAAAATTTGTTTGTGTTCGGCTCTTTACTTAACGAACGAGCCGAACATGAGCTACTTAACAAGTCGAACACGAGCTGTTCATGAACAACGAGTTTTTTTGACAGCCCTAGTTAATATTATGTGCATCCCCAAATGCAACAATTAGAGAGAGCTTTACGATTGTATATGCCAACTTCTTGAAACATAGGGTTTTATTTACCTTATCACATTGCATGTTTATGTATTCTCTTCATTGATGGTTTTGACAGTCATGCTTTATACAAGGAGCGTGAAGTCACGCACAAAATAGGATCAGATTGGCCATTAGAGCAGTTTTGTTAAATTTTATTATTGTTATGCAGTAAGAACTGCAGAACACAGTGATTGTCGTGATATGGACTTCTGGTTCATTCAGACTGATAAATGCATCATTATATATTTTGTTGAGTGTTTGTGTCGCTATTTTTGCGGCTTAGCCGTGACTTTAATACTGCTGGTTTTAGTGTTACAGGTGTGTCGTAATCAACATGAACATTGTTAGTATTCCCACGGTGGTTTAAACATTTAATAATATTCTAGGAAACTGAGAGCACAACTCAAGCATCTAATCACCATCTAGGTTCCTGTGAGGCCCGCATGCTGCACCCATCTGCCTTGTTATTTGCTTCTTGCTCGGGACATCCACAACTTGTTCGATCTCATCTCTTGCTCGCTGCTTTGCTCGTGCCTCTTTAAAGTGACTGATCCACATCTTCTTTGCCTCCCCCTCACTCGTCTCACCCTTTCGCTCTCGATCGCTCAATTCAACTTCACTTCCTCCCTTTGCCTTGACCCACATTTTAATAATGAGGAACCACTAGCATCCGTTCAATTGAACCGACGCTAGGCAGTTCCTATATCTCTCTAAGCATTACAAAATCATTCTATGGTTTGAAAACTTTATCATGTCCATCGCATAAGCTCTCGAGTGAGTCAAGCAGATAAGAAAAGCTCTAATATTTTATGAGATTTTTTAATTAAAAATGGACTAATTTGGAAATAAAATTGAAAAGAAAAAATAAAATTAACAAATAATCCTAAAAGGTATGAGACAAATCTTAAACATTTTTTAGAAAATATTTTGAGAATTCCTGTACTAGCTTACACATATTTTGAGACACAACCTTCATTTTCTTGCTAAAAATTTGAGTAACCCACCAAAATTATTGAAAATGATTAAAAATATATAATGAGGAGAAAATACTGAGAATGAAGCATATATATTCATATTAGGACACTTTTTCATACATTAATATGCTGAAAGCTTTATAAATGGATCAAGTTTTCCTTTGATGATGACCAATCCCAGCTGCCAACAAAAATTGCTAGGAATCTACTGCAATTTGACCGTCCTTTGAATTCAAGCAACGAGCCAAAGTTGACCTTAATAATGTAGACTGACATGAACTTGGGCATACGCATAGGTGGTAAACCTTTCCTATATTATCACGACCTGGTTTGAGAGTTTGAAATACTAAGGCGAGAACACCCTCTCAAATAGAAAAAAATAACTAAGTTTCATTTCACAATTAAATCTAATCTACAACATATTAAAAAAACATTATATTTCATAAAACTTTAATTTACAAACAGTTCATAAAAATTTAATTTTTAACAACTGCCAAAAAATAAAAGCCAAAATGTAATACTTATCATTCTGAGGTCCTCGACATTGTACACACTCTCTAGAATCTATTTATTCTCTAGGTACTTTTCCTGAAAAATTATTAGAAGCTGAAGGCGTGAGTCAAACTAATCAGTGAGTAAATATATTTTTATTTTGTAATAGTTCTTTTTATTTATGAAAGCAGTCGCAACTGTTTTTAGCACTTTTTTTTTACAATGCAAAATTCATATTATTCAAAGGTTAAATAAAATAAAAAATTAAAATATGATATATGCATGCATATGTGGAGTCACCGTAAGATGGTACCAACAGGGAATCCAATGTACTCGTGCACGTAAAATAGAAATGAAAATGGAAATGGTGTCTATCTTTTTGATGAGTTTTAGAAATGTTAAACATATATTTTTAGTATACGTTTAGTGATGACTCTCCTGATGGATAATATAATTGAAATAAACACTTAGTAGAATTTCTTTATTATCTTCCTCTAAGTGTTTGCAGTTTTTTAAAATAAATATTTATTATAATTTAGAGACATTTTACTCATTAAATAATTTAATTCATATCTTCAATTGCTAATATTCTCAGAAAAAATAGCTAGAGAATAAATGAATCCTAGAGAGTGTACATACATCGAGGAGCTCAATCGGATAGGTATTGCATTTTAATTTTTAGTTTCTGCCAATTGTAAAAAATTAAAATTTGTAGGAACTCTTTGTTAATTAAAGTTTTATTAAATAGAATGACCCATTCGTGTTTTGAATTAGGTTTAATTATGAAATAAAAATGTTTGGATAGTTAATTTTTTTTGTTTGACTGTATGTTCTTGCCTTGATATTCCTAGCTCTTGGGCAGGATCGTGACACAAATTTTGAGAAACTAGAATTACCTTAACTTGGTGTGAGACAATTTTAAATGACAGGAAGAGTCACCCGAATGAAGTTAAAAACATTGATAGCACCACAAAAATATTTTTTTATGCTAAAAGGGATCTTGCCAATCTATCAAAATCTTAGGTTCAACAAACACCGCATCTATAATGAAAATTCAACAATGATAAGTAGTGCAGCCAGCTCACCAATTTTTGTATCGGTTATATTTGTGTTTCAAACTAAAAATTTAGAGAATTATAATATGAGCCATGTTCTAAAGTACGCATAAACCCTATCGGCGGGCAAAGAGTATTAAGAACCTCACTACATGACAGGAAATTTGTTAGAAAAGAAAAGAACACTCTAGGTTAGCTTATCAAATTTACTATTTGAGTTAGAGGATTTTGATCCATATTATCATGTGTTTTTGCACAAATCATTTCTCATACAGAGAGATCTGGATTAAAGTTGCAACATAATCTGGCTATTATTTATAACCTATCAAGTAATCATTATTTCACAATATCTTCATAATATATAAGTAACATGGGTTGCAAAAATGAAATTGCAAAGAAGATTTTTAAATACATAAATTGCATGTAAAATGGTCATTGTACCTGCAAAATGACTCCACGAACTGCTCTGGAGAAAGCAAAATTTGTTCTCATATAATGTACAATGTCCTATTCACATACACGATAGAGCTAGCGAGTTAAATTTTGTCCTGTAAAAATTCTTTATATATATTTTATTGCAAGGAGTAAATTGAATTTTAGATACTACCTGGCAACCAGTACTGTGCCCAAGCAACACGACACCTTCAGAATTTTCCTTGTTTATGAAATAGCCAATAAGCTGGTTTAGCTCCACGGCGTCCTTAGAATATATAATGAAACTGTAAGTAGATTTGGAGTAAAACTTTATGAAAGTGAGAAGAAGCAATGCTAGAATGTCCAAGTACAACCGATCAGACACTTAACCATGGAGCCTATAGTTAACTAAAGGGGCATTTACATACATAATTCTAATGTATTTATAAAGCTCACACCTAAACTTTCATATCTGCACACATAACAATCAAATTTTTAATATCACATCAAAAATAGTATTATTACCCTTTTTTAAAAGTGAAATACACCTTTTCACGTATAAGTCTAAAGTACCTAAGTGCTATATATGTAAGTATTGAAGTTTAGTTGTGAGATATGTAAATACATAAGAATTGTGTGCTAGGTGTGTAAATTTCCCCAAGTAAAAGACATTGCCTCAATTGTGAGCATTTGTAAGTGAAATCAGCGAACATTCAGCCACACCAAGGTTTACAAAACTATCAGGAAATGCATTTTAAGCAAAAATCATAGTGTGGTTTCCCTGTGAGTGGCATAAAATTCACTGATGCCTTGTAGAAAAATACAATAGTCTCAAAAGCAGGCGAAAAGAATCATGATTTTGTACAGAAATTTCAAAACACTGTATGAGTATTGAACTTGAGGCATATTACATCAAATAGTTAAGGATTACATTAACATCACAAAAACAATATGATCTTCCTCGTTATCCCAATGATTTGGTTCAGGTTGTTCAAAGTGTGAATCTTTTAACATCACATTTTGGGAGACATATGCCTTGGATTTCATACATCCCTTTTCTTCATAAGCATTTTGCATTCAGGTTTGTTCCTGAACTGACAACAATTTAGGGTCCATTAGGGATCTTTTTTAATTTTTAATTTTCATTGCTTTTTAAATGTGTTCGTTTAGTAAGTCTTTTTTAAACTATTTTTATTTTTGTTTTTAAAAATAAATCGAGTTATTTTTAAAACACTTAAAACAATCATTAAATATTTTGATTATTTATAAACAAAATGAGTAAAGTGTCAAAATAGTCGATCGGTTTTAATCCCAAAAGTTATGGAAGTTCCAAAATAGCCTCTGACTATTTTAAAATTAAGCACTAATAGTCCTTTATGGGGACTATTTCAACCCCAATTAAAAGAACTTGGGGACTATATTGACACTTCTATAAACTCTGAGATTAAAACGGCTCAATATAGATAGTTGGGGACTATTTTGGCACTTTACTCTAAAAACAACTATCATTGTAGAACATCGTCACCACAACCAACCCATTGCCACTGACAACCAAATCTTAGTAGCTGTCTTAACAACGAACCTTATATGGAAGATGGCTCGATTTTAGTTTAGATTGAGGCAATGCCTTGATTAACTATCATAGGGCTTACATTCACTAAAAATCCCATAATTATAACTTATAACCTCGAGAATAAGAAAAGTGAGTTAATGAGCCTTCAGGCCTTATCTTTTAGGTAAGTTGATTTTATTGATTTAGATTTAGTTTGCTAGGGTTGATGGCTTTGTCCTAAGCCCAATCATATGCATTAGAAAGCCCAAAATATGTCATTTACGTTCTTGACTAATGTCTCATGTTTGAAAATAAAAATTAAAATGATTTGAACTATAGGACTTCCTGTTCTATTTAGTTGGGGAGTTATAGTCTTGGCTTTCATGATGCTTAGCCCTTTACAACTCAAATATTCAAATAAACCCAATAGTGGTCTTACAATCTCAAGTTGTACGCAAGGCAACCGTTTTGATGAAATATAAGTTATGACGCAATTCATACTTTATTATGAATATTGACATGATTTATTAGGACACACAAATCAACTGAAAGTCAATAAAATCATACTCAGGTCCTTTGCCTATTTGTCTTACAAATTCGGTCCCCACTACAAACAATTGGAGGAGACCTAGGGAGCATTTTGGTAATTTAATCTCAAAAGGGACATTCAAATCGTTTTTTAAGTCTCTAAGGCATCAACTAGAACCTCAAGCTAGAGTATTTGGGCATAAAGAAACAATGAGTACAACATGATACTTATTAATGTGTCAACACAAATTTTAATGCATTAACAAGAATATTGACACTTATGAGTCACATATGGGCAGAAAGGTGACACTTATGAGTCATCTATGGGCAGAGAGGTGATTTGTTCTTCATTTATGGTAGTTATATGCATTCTGTATGATTTAATATGTTGGCACCATTTTTTTGAATGCATTGTCACCCTTTTCACTACATTTGCATGCTTTTGGATGCAGTGGCATGAATGGGGTATTTTCTCCATCATCTAGAAGTTTTAATTTGCAAGACAAATAGCTGATAGTGGATGATAATTGTTGGTTCCAAAGCTTTTTGCTTTTGTGACACTCAAATACTGACATTTAGTGGCCTTAAAAATTATTTTTCAGCTTTAGAAAATTAATGGGGCTCACTATGCATTGATTGGTGGCCAAAAAAACAGCCCCTATGTTGAATAAATTGCAAAAAAAATTTTGTATTCCTTTTGTGAAGTTGTGAGTTGTTGATTGACAACAGTGGGCCCCAAAAGTTCATTCAAATATTATAGTCTTTGTATGCTGAATGGACCATCAACATGACTAGGTGAAGATGAATGACTTGTTATTGGATGCATTATTTTTTACTTACCATTTCATTATTTTATCCAATTCCCAATGATTTGATTGTGGCACGCGTAAATGGATATGTTTAATAGTTCAAAATATCATCAAGGTGCTAATTTTTTAAATAGCAATGTTTAAGTGCTATGTAGGTAATTATCCCAAAGAAGTATAATATATACCCTTAAGTTATGGTAGGCAATAACGTGTGTACATGTTTTTCTTTCAAATCAATAAACCTGATGGACAAATTTTTCATTTAATGTTTGTAGTGATGTTGACGCTTTGCCATAAATACAATATTTATTTTGCATTGTATAGGTAAGAAGCCAAGTAGCAAACAAAATCATAACAGTGGCCCCATTCTCAAGTCGCACATCGTACAATGATGCTGCTAGGTTTACCTCCATCTTTCCATCCCCAATGTGAAAGCATAATTTTTAGCTTGTCAAATAATGCTTACGCTATCGATCAACTGTGCTCAGATACGGAGCCAAAAATCTTTTAAAGATGGGGCACAAATTTGTTTATGCCAGTAAGTGTCTAAATAAAATTATGTTTACATTATATTAAATTATCAAATTGGTTCATATTGATTAATGTATATCTTTTCTTCAAATTAATATTTTTCTGTAAATATAATTTTTTTAAGTTTAATAATATAAATTGGGCAAAAAAGAAAGTCAAAATTTAAACCTTTTAAATAATATAATATATAAATAATTAATAAAAATTTATACTTTATACAATAAAATTCAATTTAATTGATTAAAATTTTACTTTCATCAAAATTTATATTAAAAATTTGTAATTAAATATATTTTCTACACAAAAAAAAGAGATTTAAAAAATATTGAAAATTTTTTTAAATAAGCCCTTTTATCAAAATTTAGATTACAAAATTGCAACCAAATAAGAAAACAAGCAAAATATGTTTGACAGCCAAATGAACAACTTTTTAGTCCAATAATTTTAATGACAACTATTTCATAGTACAAATTTTTTAACATGGTAGAACACAATTTATAAGTAAATGATATTTAATATATAAATATATTGAAGCACTTCTTTTTTTTCACTATTGATTAAATGAAAACTAATCAAACCAAACAAAGTTCTGAATCATACTAGTTCAGAAACATTAATAGGTATTATTTTTTTAATTTACTAATTTTCAAAATAATATTATTTAACTGGCATTCCATTCACAATCACGCACATTGAAAATACCTCAAAGTAAACCTTGAAGTCTGATGCTGAGAGCGGGCAAGGCAGCAGGTCTAGAGCACCACAAACACTCATGCGCCCGTGGGAGAAACTGGGATCGGTTGGAAAATACAATGCGGGCAGGCAAGAAAACCAGCAAGAAAAATGCGGGAAGGCAAGAAAAACAACTAGAAGATCATTTGTCCACCTTCTTTTTATTTTTTTCTGGGGATTGTAGTGCTTCCTTGGGCCCCCTCCTAAATCCAAACTTTACCGTGCTAGCCTCTTGCTAATGATGGCTCAAGAACCATCATCGAAACTGAGAACTAAGGGCTTTATCGGGTTCAATCTTATTATTATTTTTTTATTTTTAAAAACATTTTTGATTAGTGTGCTTCTTAGATATTTTTTCTTTTTGTTTCTAAAAACAAATTAATTTTTTTTAAAACACCCGAAACAACTTTTAGTTGTTTGAGCGTTTTTAAAAGCAATCACATCTTAATCAAATATGTTAAACATATTTTGTTTCAATTCAAAACGTAAATAAAACAAAATAAAAATTGAAATAAAAATAAAATAAAATAATGATCTATATTGCAAGTTAAGAAGCACAGTGCATACTGCTAGAGAGTAGAAGAAAGGAAACTAATACCTGTTCCAAGGAAGAAGTTCCATATCCAACATATGAAGATGACAGCAATGGCTGAACTAAGGACCAGTTTAGATTCTCCAATGCAACCGACAAGGGCTCTAGATACCTACAAAACAATGACTTTTGTGAAATGAATTATACTACCAACAGAAATTGAAGCAAGTTTATAATGTATAAATAATAAATCATATTATCAGAGTTAAGAAAAAAAGTTATGAGGATGTAGAAAATTTCAACAATGGTAGATGCCTGCTGTAAAAGGAAATGGTAAATGGGAAAATAGCAGAACAAAATCATTTTATTTAAACTACACAGACATGGATGTTTTTTAAATGTGAAACTAAACTAAGATTTATAGCGAATTAACCATGGAAATGTCACCGAGAAGGTGTCAGAAAAATGGAGAAATTTTGTGATAGTATCGAGTACTACATCTATCATGAAACTAGGAAAGCCTCATTTGCTCTTACGACTCAACATGATGATGAAAGAACCAAAAAGAGGCTGAATCTTATCTTGAAACTGGGAGATATTCAAAAGTTTGATCTTATATTAAAAAATCTTTCATTCTCAGAAGCAGCATTTTTTAAGAGGCCTATACATTTTTTATATATATAGTAAGGGGGGGAAATGCAACTTAATTTTTTTTAGAACCAACATATTTGTCATTTTATAAAATAGCTATGTATATCTTGATAGTGAAGCTTGAAAGACCATTAGTTTAAGAATCTTCCAAATATTATGCATATATTTAATAAATGAGCTACATTGTAAAATAAGCAAATCTAATGTTTTGTTTCTCATGGACTAATAAATGAAGATATATTGGCTAATAGAGTTTTATTGTTTAGACTTCTTTGTCGATAGAGTTTTTACACAGCTTCATGGCATCCTGATTCATTTATGGAACTTGTGCAATGGTGCTTCAATAATTTCTCTAGGAAAAAAAATTATCCAAAATGTAGAACTTATTAAAATTTGGTATAAATATAAAAACCCTAGTATTTATTGAGATGAGTGCGGTAATTAAGTAATTAATATTACATGAATTTTAAAACATATCTAATTAAAGGCTTTGAGACCCATCTTAATCATTTTATAGTTAGGATACCATAATGAAATTTTTTTCTTTAGGAGAAAAGAATATTATTTATAGTTGGATTTCTTTCAAGTTTGTTTTTATTAAGAATTGCTTAGATGAGAGAAAGTTATATTCTCAATCCAAAAAAAATTATATTAATTTTTAAGAAGGTTGTCAATACCAATCTCAAGTCTGAATAAAAAGGGTTAAGGGTACTTTTAATCTAGAGCTACATATTTTTTAAAGAAATATCAATCACCTGTTGAATAAGTGTTATTTCTACCCCCTCTTATTGATCAGGATTCACCAACATGTGTCCATGTCCATCCTTTCAAGTGAATGGTAACAAACTGGGAATCCGTGCGCTATTGAGTGTAATGGATTTAACCTAGCACACTAGAGCAGAGTTTAGATAAAAGATTACACAGACATAGCTACCCAAGGCAAAGAATAGTCCAAAAATATTATTAGCTATATGCGTTAGTCACTTGTTTGCGAGTTTAAAACCTCCAAGTATTCTCAAAGAATAGTCCAAAAACATGATTTTGTCTCATCGGTGTAACTAACCAGAAGGTCACTCCTCCCTTAAGTGATCCCATAGAAACATGCTTGACTTCGAAGTTTCTGATGAAATTTCAATCATTACATCTAAAAGCGTATTGATGTTTAAAAGTTAAGCACCACTGTACTTAAGGGGTTTTATGATCTCCATGACTTAAGTAATTGATATTCTCGCTATTTTTCCTAACTCATAACCATCCAATGGATAGATAGAATTCTATAAGTGGCCACTAAAAATTTAAGAGATGGCTCACACCATGTAGCACTTGGTTTCATCTTGGGTTTAAGAGGTGGCTCACATAGCATAACATTTTGTTCTATGTGGCACTTAATGTTCATCTATAAGCTGGTGTATCGGTCTAATATAATTTGTAATAGCATGAGCTCGCACAAATCAATATATTGTCTGTTTTGGCTTAATGGCCTCAAAATTTTATCCCATTGGTGTAACTTCGCAGAAGGTTACCAGACGTGGAGGCTAGAGGGTTGAACCAGTTCAACCATGCTCAGCAGAAACCTATAAAGGTGGAGGATCAAACCATCCCCCCACCCCCATCTCTTTCATTACAACAAGAACAACAAGCCTTTATCTCTGTTTATCTCACTAAATGAGGTCAACTACATGAATCTTTTTTCTCCATTCGTCCTATTGAGTATTATATTTTCATTTAATTCTAATAGATTAAGATCATCTTTAATACAATATGCCCAAGTCTTTTAAGGACTACCGCTGCCTTTTTTAACGTAAGTCAAATCTAAACATCTACTCTTCTAACAGGATCATCAGATGGTTAGTGTTTAACATGACCAAACCATCTAAGACGACTCTCTCTAGTCTTGTCCGCCACTAGAGTTACACCAACCCTATCACAAATATATTCATTTCGCATTTTGTCCCTAAGTGTCACATCATCCACCTAAGCATTCTATCTCAGAAACACTTAAATTTGTTTTATGTTTTTTTTTTAAAGGCCAACATTCTACGCCATAGAGCATTGCATGTCTCATCACCATCTTATAATTTTTTCCTTTCAGTCTAAGCGTTACTTTTTTATCACACAATAGGCCTGATACATTCCTCCACTTCCACCAACCAACTTCAATTCTACCAATAACATCCCCATCTATATCACCATAACCTTGAACTATAGACCCTAGATATCTAAAATGAGTACACCTTTTAATGATTTGATCAACAATAGTTACAACTCTGCCACTAGGGCTACTAAAATTACATTCAATGTATTCAATTTTAGATCTACTCAAACGGACTTTTAGACTCCAATGTAGACCTCCATAATTCAAGTTTTTCCTAAACACCATAATTCAAGTCTTAACCACAACAAGGATATCATCAGCGAAAAGCATACACCAAGGTACGTCCTCATGTAAATGTCCAGTAAGAGCATCCATAACTAAAGAAAAAAGATATTGGCTTAAAGTCGACCCCTAATGTAATCCAACTAAAATAGGAAAATACTTGGTCAATCTCCCTTTTGTTCGAACACAAGTAAAAACTCTAGTATACATGTCTCTAAGGAGTTGAATATAAGTCATATCAACACTATTCTTCTCTAGAACTCTCCAAAAGACTTTTCTTGGAACCTTATCGTAAGCTCTTTCTAAACCAATAAAAATCATATGTAGACCCTTCTTTTTGTCTCTGTATTTCTCCATCAAACCCCTCAATAAATATATAGCATCCATAGTAGACCTGTCCGGCATAAATCCAAATTATCCAAATTGATTATGAGACTCACGTCATAACCTATGTTCAATTACACTCTCCCATAATTTTAAAGTATGACACATCAAATTAATTCCCCTATAATTTACGCACTCTTGTGCATCCCTTTATTCTTAAAAATAAATACCAAAATACTCTTCCTCCACTCCTCCAGTATCTTTTTAATTTTTAAAATAATATTGAATAGTTTAGTAAAACAAAAAACTCACAAATCTCCAAAATTATTTCACACTTCAGTTAGGATATCAGCAGGTCCTACTGATTTTTCACCATTGGTTTTCGTTAAAGCATCTTCAAATTCTATTTTACTAATGCGACAGTAATTATTATCAACGATATAAAAATCACTAACGTCGATCATATCTTCAGAAACTACATTGAAAAACTAATTCAAATATCTCACCCTCCTATGTTGAAATCTTCCTCTAATAAAAACATTTTTTTTATTTTAATCTTTAATACAATTTATTTGAATTAAATATTTATTTTTCTTTTCTCTTTGTTTGACTAGTTTATACATATATTTTTCATCATCTTTAATATATAATATATTATAAAGATCACTAAAAGCAAAATTTTTAACTTCACAAATTGTTCTCTTAGACTCCCCATGAGCCACCTTACATTTTTCCGAATTCTCTAAACTTTTACGTTTAAACCAATTTTTATAGTACAATTTCTTATATATTATATTTTCTTACACATTACTATTCCACCACCAACTATTTTTAATTATAAAAATTGTTACTTTTGATTTTTCAAGTTTTTTTGTCACTTGTTTAATAGTGCTTATTACTTTATCACACATATAATTTACTTCATGAACATCCCAAATCTTGAAACCTTGAAATCTTGAATTTTATCTGTTTTTTAGATGCACCTATCTAATTTTATAACTATGTTTTTTTTGTATTCTTTATCTTACAATTCTTTACCTTAAAATCCAAAACTAATAATCAATGTGGAGTATTTAAATTTTCACTTGGAATGACCTTACAATCTTTACACTCTCGATGATATCTTTTTCTCATAAAAAAATAATCAATTTATGTTTTATTAGAACTATGTTTATAAGTAATAATATGCTCATCTTTTCTTAAATAAAGAATTAGCAATAACAAAATCATACACTAAAGCAAAATGTAATATCGTTCTACCTTCTTCATTAATCACTCTAAAACCGTAGCCACCATAAATATTTCTAAAATCTTTCATCACTCTACCAACATGTCCCTTTAAATTCCCTCCAATAAAAATTCTTTCTTTAAGAGGTGTCATTGATATTAATTCTTTTAAATCATTCCAGAATTTTTCTTTTAAACATATATCTAAAACTACTTGAAAAACATAAACACTTATAATATTAAAAATCTTAATATCAACAACAATTTTTAGAGTTATAATTCTATTTCCAATTCAATTAATTTTTAAAACATTATCTTTCAAACCCTAATTTATAATCACAACTACATCATTTCTAGTGTGACTTCTATCTGAATACGAAAGTTTAAAACTTAAGCTATCAAAGTACTAAGCATTTTCTCCAACCATTTAATTTCTTGAATACATAAGATATTTATCTTCCTATGAACCATAAAATCAATTAATTTCATTAATTTACTTGTGAGAGTACCTATACTCCAATATCATATCCTAATATTACTTTTATGCAACAACATTTTTACCCACATCCGTATTTAACGTGTGAAACTTTGTT